ATGGCTGAGACACAGGATAGCGTCAGGAGGGCACTTCATATGGGGGTGGAGGTAGGAAGTGGCTCTGTGGTCTTAACAGACATTCCTGACACTTAAAGAAAAAAGAAAGGCTGATTGGAGCCAACAGAGACAGGGACTTCCCAAGATACACGTGGGAGGACACCCTGAGACCTGACTTAAGGTAGTGATGTCTGGATTCTGGCTTTGTCACCTTCTTGCAGTGTGGCAGGTCAACTATTTCTCTGACCTTTAACACAGTGGAAGTGGTGTCAACCCTCTGAGCGTGATACTGCAAGGCATCAGGAGGCTGCCCAGCATCTCCTGGCCTAGAGGGGGAGCTGGCATCTCAGGCATCTTCAGGGACTCACCCAGTAGCTGGTCTGTAAAAGTATTTCAGAATGGCAGCTGTCTTACCAGTAGCTGAGAGTTCAACAGTGGAAGCACCAGGGAGTGAGGGCTTCTGGGAGCCTTGGAGCTCCTGGCAGGTGTGACAGGAGGCTGGTTTCAAACTTTGAGGAAAGGTGTTACAGGCAGGACTGCAGCCTGTAGTGAGGGACCAGTTGGGCTCCTGGAGGGGCTTGTCACAGGCAGGCATGAAGGGGCAGGTAAGGCAACATGAAGAGGGGAAGAGAGAAGAAGGGGAAGCTGTGAGCTTTAACCCAGAGGTTGTGATGAGACCACACTGCTGCCTGTGATGCAGACAGAAGCAGGGATGTCACCAGGCATAGGGAGCTTTCTGCTTAGGGGAACCCAGCAATTTTCTACCCACTCCATTTCCAAAAAAGACATACTTATTTAAATGTCACTGGGCAGCTCGTCTGGACTCTTTCCTGAGCAGTGCTTCAGGTGGGCCCCAGCCAGAGGGAGGATAGGGCAGAGCTGGGGGTTCCATCGCCCCGGCCCTCAGCCTATGTGAATAAGCACTATGATGAGGTAACACTGTGGGCAGTGGGGGCACAGGCTTCAGAATCCCAGAGATGAATTCTGCTAATTACGCGCATGTCCAAGTCTTTAGAGGAAGCACACAGATGTCTGCAATTTGCTTTCAAATACATCAAGAGAATAAAATGGACTGATGGATGACAGAGGGATGGGGAGTGATGTCAGGAAGCAGCTAGTGAATGTACCAGGCAGAATAGAGGTGGTGGTAAATGGGTCTATGTCCGTATGCTTGAACATGCTCAAGATGAAACTCTGGGGCACCAGGACTGGTGAAGGTAAGGTGCCAAGAGGGCACTGATGCACTGCCAGGGGTGTGCAGTGTGCTCTACATGAAGGGAGCCTCACTCATCACATGTCATCTCACATCACATGGGCCATTTCACAGACAAGCTCTCTGTATCAGGACAGTGTGAAATCTTGACAGGACTTGCTAGCATCTGGCCTCTCCCCAGGCCTCCACAGTCCCAAGGCTTAGACCATCAGAAGCACAAACACAGAAACATGGCTCCGATTGCCAATATATGACAACAAAGGCCATGGGGTCACAGTCATGGTGGTAGCAACATCTTGGCTTGTGGGATGTGAAGGGACCTTCTTTCAAACACATCTGCAAAGAACCTGTGGGGAAAGCCCAAATGTCCAAGCCCCAGGAGGAGCCTGATGGCTACTGGTGTTGAAGGCCCCTTGCACATTTGTTATAAGGAGGAACACAGGAGGCCCATCAGGGACATAGGAAGGACATCAGCACTGCCAGAACTGGTACAACGGGAGTGGGGAGGGAGGGTCAGCGGCTGTGCACTACAGGCCTGGGGACAGGGACAAGGATGGCATCTCTCATGGTCCTGCCTCTGCAGCTGCTCCAGTAGCTGTGTAACTGCTGACTGGGGGCTGTAGCTCTGGAACTACAGGCTTTGCCTAATCTCACTATTTGAGAACAATGCCACATGCTCAAACTCATCTGCCTTAAAAAGGGAGGGTTGAGTTCATCAGTTTTCCAATCATTAGTGGGTTTCTGTGCAGCTCTGACAGCATGGAAGGGGGCCTGAGTTTGTCATCCACCTGACTGGGCCTATTACCCCTTCCCATCCACTCACTATGCTAGAAATAAATGCACACAGGTCATCTCTGGTAAGTGTGCAAATAGCCAACGACCTTTGGGATAACCAGAATGTCACCATAATCAGCCCTCACACCAGCCCTGGCAGTGACCTGTCTCCCTGAACACCCGAATATGCCCACATAATCAGATCCAAGTAGTAACCGGAGTTTTGCTTCTTTGCCAACCAGCTGTGAACTAATTACAAAAAATTCTAACTAGTCCGGCTCCTTCTCCAAGCATATGTTCCCAATTAAGTCAAACTGCAGCTGATTTTAATCAATCTTCCTTGAAGCGCTAACTTAGAGCAACTCTCCTCCGGAAAGGAGGAAGGAAGGATTGTGTAGAGGAGCTGTAAAAAAGGGTGTAATAGGAGAGAACAGGGATGTAGGAAGGTAGGGATGCAGGAGAGGCAGAGCTGCAGAGGGAGTGTTCCTGGAAGACTATTGGGTGAACTAGATACTAATCAAGCATGTCTAGGAAACTCAGCAGTCCCTTCATCATATCCTGGGACTTTTGGACTACACATACTAGGTCTGTACAGAGTGTCAGGATTGATTGGCATCAGGTGCCATGAACAGGCACCCTGGAGAAGCCACTGTGCCAACACCCATAATGTTGGCTATTCTCTGAGGTCCTGAGGTATCCAGGGTCAGGACAGATATAACGAGGACATATAATGGTTTTGCCTTCAATGATGAAGACAGAAGGAGTCAGCAGACAGACACAAGCACTAGTGAACCCCTTATACGGCCTCAGACTCCCTCATGTGTATTGCCACTCTAACCTTACCTGGCCCAAGCCCATCCAGTGAGGGAGGGCCCTGCCAAGCCCTGTGTCTGAGTCTCTTCCCACCCACTGCCCATTCCTCCTGGGCTGATCCATCAGTCAGCTCCTCCAGTTCCCTCAGTCAGGGACATGGGCTGAGCAGAACCCATGGCCTCCACGGTCATCAGTGCTCAGACCACAGCTCTTCATGCACTAAGTAGTGGGATGAGGAGGGATTCAGTTCCAGTGTCAGAATCAGACAGAAATTGGCCCTTACTACTGGTGATTAATGCCATCTGCAGGCTAGCTGGATCCTGAGTGAAAAACCTATCACTGCTCTGGACACAATTGCAGCTGGACGCACAGAGCAGACCCAGTCCAGAAGAGCACAGCTACAACCAGCATGAGGTCCTTGTGCTGAGGACAGAGACTTGGGAATGAGAGTTCCAGTGCTCAGGACTTGGTCAGCTGCCAGGGTGCCTACCTGTAGACCCATTGCCTCCCACCCCAAGTTCGTCCTAGTACATGCTCATTCCAAGTCATGTGGGGGCAGATAGGACATGAGGTGACTGATGGCAGGCATGAGAGATGAAGAAGGGCAGGCTAGGAGTTCAGGGAATCTTGTCTGCCCCACCCACCATGGAGATGTCCATTTAGACCTGGATGGTGCCTTTTATGGAGGCTGGCTAAACTCCAGTGCTGGCAAGGAGAGATGAGAAGCTGGAAGCGCAGGACTCACGTCAGAGACCTCCTGCTGTGGATTCCAGGTCTGGGAGGAAGGTGAACTAAAGGACTACAAACAACTCTGGCCTGGAAAACAGGTATAAAAGGCCATGAGCCAAGTGCCACAGGGCAGCCTGAGCTTCCCAAAGGGGCCTGTGCAACCTACTCCTAATCTGGCTCTGGAAAACCCACTTCCAGAGCAGTTTTGACCACTGAGATGACCTCCCACCAACCTCATGCCCCCAAACCAATGGGCATGGTCACCTTGCCATCCTGAGCTGGGCTCTCAGTCATCACACACTGAAACATCCAGGCCCACCTGGCCCAGCCCTCCATGCTCCTCTTAGCCATACTCTGGGTACCATCAGAGGTTCACTCAGCACTGTGCAGCCACTGCCACATGTTTTCATGCAGGTGCTGAAACCTGGGTACAAGAAAACAGCTATGGACACAGAATAATGGCGCCATGGCCTCCCAGGCAGAAGCCCAGCCTGGGAGCTCTGGAGGGTCACAAGAGATCTCACTAGTGCCCTCTCATTCCAAGTTATATGGGGCAGATAGGACACCAGGTGACTGAGCCTGGGGTATGCAAGTGAGAGCCCCATAGCACCCCATCTGCACCTATTATTTCTAAGTGCAAAGCACGGTCCATATGCATTTCTCACTCATTTATTCCTCAACAATCTCTCTCTAGATTCCAGACCTGTAAAAAGGTCTGGAAGCCCAGAAGCAGCCAAAAGATAAGCAGCTCTGGTGGGGAAATGCTGCACCCAAATCTGCTAAGGTTCAGGTTCATCAAGCCAGAGCTTGGGCTCTACCCACCTAGTTATGCAGCAAGATGCTCGGCACTCCATCCTGATGTGGTGCTGAGCTCTATGGTGGTGAGGACGTACCGCCAGCAGCCCTCAGCTGAGGAGGGTGGCCCAATTATAATGGCACAAGATGACAGGTCCTAGGGCCAGGCACATGATCCAGCTGCAGCTTCAAGCATCTCACTTCATCAAAGTTGTCACCTCTCCTGTCACTGGGATCAGTGATAGGAACGAGATTTGATTGCCTCTAATAGGTGCCAAGATAAAATCAATGGCCTGTCTAGAGACTGGGCATCTCAGACTGTGGGTTTCCTGCCCTAGAACCGTGTAAATCAAGGATATGAAAGGAAAGAGAAAGTCAAGAGAAACTATACAGACAGCAGCATAAGATCTCAAGGCAGGTAGGTGCTGTTGGTGTGGAGGCACACCTCTCAGGGCTCCATATCTGTGACCCCAATTTCTGCATATCAGGCATCCAAGCCAACAGGCGCTGTGGTTCACATAGAGGAGTGGGAGAAACTAGGAGTGTGAAGAGGACCCTGGGATGAAGGGGCTGATGATCAGCACAGCCAGTTGTCCTGCCGGACCTTGTAAGCACTCCCACCAGGTATGAGTGAGGGTGTAGGGGAAAGAGCCAGCAGGAGAGGTGGCATGCCTACCTGCAGGGTGCGCCTCTCCAACTGCATCTCCAGCATATTCTTTTCTTGTTCCAGATTGCTCCGCTCCCTCTCTAGTTCCTCCACCTTCAATCTGCAAGCAGACCAAGATATGATGCAATGTTGCCCACAGCCAGGGGCCATGAACCTTTTTTATTGTAAGTTAGCATAGGTGAGGCTCCAAGAAACTGGGTGACACTGAAAATGTGCATAATCACAGGGGCAGATGGTACACAGTGGACAGCAGCCTGTCAGGAGGAAAAGCTGTTGCCAGCAAGGGTCTCAGACAACCACAGCTTGACTGGGATCACCTAAGGAAACGAATAAGAGCAGGACACATGTGAACTGGGGCCCATGTTTGGGAATGTGGCTTAGTGGTAGAGTGCTTGCCTAGTATGCATGAAGTCCTCAGTACCACATAAACAGAAAAGGCCAGAAGTGGTGCTGTGGCTCAAGTGGTAGAGTGCTAGCCATGAGCAAAAAGAAGCTCAGAGACTGTGTCCAGGTCCTGAGTTCAAGCCCTAGGACTGGCAATAAAAAGAAGAGAAGAGAAAAGAAAAGAAAAGAGACGTCCGGGCAATGGATAGCTATGCAGAAAACATAAGCAGGTGGAATCCTGAAGGAGAGGACAGGAAGGAAGGGCAGGAGGAAACTACAGGAAGGTTCTAAGTTTGGTGGAAAGTGGAAGCTGCAGAACCAACAAACCCAACCAGCCCAATGTGAGAAACAGATGACAAACTCAAAAGGTGCAGCCCTGGAAGTGCTCAAAACCAGTGCTAAAGAAAAAGCATCAGAGTGGGCTAGGAATGTGGCTTAGTTGTAGAGTGCTTGCCTAGAATGCATGAAGCCCTGGGTTTGATTCCTTGGTACCATATAAATGGAAAAAGCTGGAAGTGGCACTGTGGCTCTAGTGGTACAGTGCTAGCCTTAAGAAAAAGAAGCTCAGAGACAGTGCCCAGGCCTGAATTCAAGCCCCAGGACTGGCAAGGAAAAAATAAAAAAAAAGAAAAGAAAAGAAAAAGCAAAAGCATCAGAGGTTGGTATATACCTGTAATTACAGTACTTGGGAGGCAGAAGCAGGAGGATCATCAGTTCAAGACCAGCCTGGGCTATAAAGTAAGACACAGTTTCAAAAAGAAAAAAAAAAAAAAAGAAAAAGGAAAAAGGAAAGACTTCTAAAAAGCCACCAGGGAGGGAGGGACACTACAAAAAATAGGGATGGGGGGGTGGTAGTGGTGGTGGTGGAGGGGGGAGAGCTGTCCTAACACAATTGGGAGAGCAGAGGGAAAGATTGTCGAAATACTGAATGATAATAAAATTCAACCTGAGTCCAGTATCAGTGGCTCATCCCTTTAATCCTATTCAAGAGAGAGGCTGAGGTCTGAGGACCATGGTTCCAAGCAAGCTCTGGCAGAAAAAATCTGTGAGACTATAATCTCCAATTAATCAGCAAAATCAACAACAACAACAAAAGCAGAGCTGTGGATCAAGTAGTACAATGCTAGTCTTGAGTAAAAAAGCTCAGGGACAGCACCCAGGCCTTGAATTCAAGCCCCAATATGGCACACACACACGCAAAAATAAATTTCAAATCTTATTACCTAGTAAAAGAATCTTTAAAAGACAATGAAAAAAATAAGGAGATTTTAGATCTACAAAGACTGAAAAATTCATCCCCAGCAAACTCACTCTCAGAATAAAGGAAGACCAGGGTAGAGGGAAGATGATGGTATACCATTAGTTGTTTGTTAAATGGTTACTTTGACAAAAGAGCAGAAAAATAGGAAGAAGGGAACAAAGAAGAGATGGGACAGTGATCACATTAAGTGTAAATGTTCTACACCACACCAATTAAAGAGACAGGAAGGCACAGAGAGGCAGGAAGCCTGAGGACAGACATCGGTGTGGCACACAGCACTGGACACTAACTAATGACACACGGGGGACCAGTCCATAGTGACTGACCAGTGGCCACAGCAACATAGACAGTAAACAGTATTTGAAGATGGTAGGGCAGCCAGAAAGAAAAGAAAGGAAGGGGGGAAAAAGGAGAAGAAAAAAGAAGCTAGCCAGCCAGCTGGAGTCCCTATCTTAACACCAGACAAAATAGACTGCCACCAAAAAGAGGGGCATAATATAAAGATAAATGGGTTAATTCAACAAGAAGATGCCCTACATGCATAGGACTCTGACATTAGAACTCCCAAACACAGGAAGCAGAGTGACAGTCTGGAGGGAGACAGGTGACCCACTACCTATCTGGGGACGGGGAGGGGGGTATGATGACACAGAGCCAGCCAAGGCCTGGGATCACTGGACACACCACATATATCAACCCTCACAGATATCAGAGACCCATATACCACTCCACACAATTAGAGCAGGACACCGCTCCCCGCCCCCCCAACCGCCCCCAAGACCTGTCATATTCCTGGGGCGTTAAACAACCATTAGCAAATTGAAAAGAATTGAAATGACACCAACAATGTTCACAGTTCATAATGGAATTAAACCAGATGTCAGTAACAGCAAGAGAACAGGAAAGCACCCAATATCTGACATGCAACCTATCAAAACACTATACTGTTTAAACATAATGAAATTAGAGAGACTATTTAACAGATTATGACATGTCAAAACCTGCAGATGGTTCTGGGTATAACTCTAATAGTATAGCACCTGCCTAGCTAGCACAAAATTCTGAGTTCGAACCCCAGTACCGGTAGAACACTTGCTTTGCATGCATGAGGCCCTGGGTTCCATTCCTCAACACCACATAAGCAGAAAAAGCCAGAAGTGGCGCTGTAGCTCAAATGGTAGAATGCTATAGCCTTGAGCTGAAGAGCTCAGGGATAGCACCCAAGCCCAGAGTTCAGGTCCCATGATTGACAAAAACAAACAAACAAAACCTTTTAGAATCAATCTCAGTTTCTTCCTTAAAAAAAAAAAAAACCCAACTAGAAAGAAGGGGGAAACCCCACAACAAACAGAAAGCTGTAATGCAAAGCAAAGAAAAAAGAGAGGAGAGGAGAGAGGAGAGGAGAGGGGAG